ACGCGGACAAATTCTTAATCAACAGCTTGTGTTTTCTTATAGTAATTAGCGTAATTCGATTTAAATGTAAAGACAGCATGCGAAATATTAATTAATAGTGATTAAGGGTAGTTTTCAATGAAAAATTTTTTAACAAGTTTTTAATAATTTGATCGTTAAGTTGTGTTATATTACATACAGTATTGTGCTGCTCTAGTTTCACGTAACCGGTATAAAAATCCATACATTGACATACATATTCGCACACGCATTAATTTTCACTTCTCAATCATGCGGTACGCGAGTGGGGTCGGTGCGGATAGTTGCGATACGAGTTTCTAACTCACGAATCGTTGCCTAATTGCGCACACGATTCAAAAATGTGTAATTACATTTTTTTATTTATTTATTTACATTTAACCTTTGCGGTGAGCGCATCACTAAACGTGACGGCCGATCGTGTGAATGTTACGAATAGATGACACACTTTATAAACCTTTTTATTTATGTTTTTTTATTTAAACTTTGTGTAAAGATTGGTGAATGTCAGTACACTTGGATTTCAACATAATGTTGGTAAATATTACTTTCAAAGCTTCGATAATCATTATTAGTAGGTGATAGACAGATTGTGTATTATTTACTCTACAATATAAAGTAATTAAATCAGGTTACTAAGGCATTCAAATAATAAAACTAAGACAAGATTCTATTACGTGCTATTTGCTGATATTTTTGTCTATTTGTACGAAGTATTTTTTTTAATTTCCTTTTATATGTTGAAAAGGAAAATTGTTAGAGGAAATGTGCATTCGAAAGCATGACGTGTCTCAATCGTGTCGAACACGGACTGAAATAAATCCGGCACAGAACTACAACGTAACGGTTGCTTATCAAAGCACAAAGCTGACTTGATCGTAGCGAATCACTTTCACGTTGACACTTGAGAAAATGTATTTCTTTCGTGGTTCGTGCGATCTAATGCTATTTCATTACAAATCTGCAAAAACGAAGTTAACGTACATTTTAAAACTGTACTGAGGGAGTTTTAGTGGGTACAAACCTCACATAACCCTGTCCTTCCCCCAGGGTATCTTTTTGAACATTTCCTCCTGATACCAAAAAAAGGTGTATTGTCAATTCACTTAGGGCTAGTCAGCTAGTCCCCAATTGACCAGTCGTCACTGAGGGTTTTTCTTACAGATCTACGTAATCAAGTAGTTTACTTTAAAGTGACAAAAGAACTTTTACGTAAATCAACAGTGACGGTTAGGTAACAGCGGGTAACACCGGAAGGTGCAGCACAATGAAACTATTATCTTATTGTGTTTTTAAATTCACTGTCGGACTAACAAGCGTTGCATTAATCAGAAAAAGTTTTTCCGTCAACTAATTCTAAACTTTTTTCTTTCTTAACTTTTTAAGAGTCTTATATTTTTTTAATTCGCAACTACGTCCTTATTGAGCGGTTCCAGCGTACATTATCAGAGATAGACCAGGCCTTAGTCAATAACACTGGCACACCGCGGATTTGTTTACTTCAGACATATCTTTTTACCACATATCTTCTTTTCTTTACACCGAATTTGTAAATCTATACCATTGGTACACGGAGGGGTTCAAACCTGGATTTGTAGATTACAATTCTAGTGCTTATACACAGTGCCATCGAGGCTCGGAAGAATTTAGACTTACAATTTCACACCTCATATCTACCTAATACCCCGGCACTAATTTCAAATAGAAAGTGAACACTTAAATCCTCGCTACAAAGTCGATCGAATACGTTACGTCGTCTAATTGTAACAACTCATGCATGCAACGAAACAGACACGAAAACTTACCAGAAAAAGCGAATCCGTAGTAGGGGACTTCGAGTTTCGAGAACTTAATTAGTCTGATGTAACGATGCTAACAATTTGATAGCTTGAGGAGGTATCATTATTGAGTGATTTGTTATAACAATACCGGTTCGTCTTAATTTAGAGGTTGTACCTTTTAATTAACATCTTTAAATTAATTTATGAGGGTTCAGTCTCAAATTACGTCGTCATTTATTTTAAAACATTTTTTAACTACGGTCTTAAAAATCGTTCAGCTTTTTATACAGGAATGATTTTTTTTTCTTTCTAAGTTTGTCCCTCTTTATCTTTCATTGGCGCTCTGTCAAAATCTAGTTGTTCTTTCGTGTTTTTTGTTAACATTGTACGAATGTTTCTGCAGTGTAAACGCACGGCAACGTCAAGTGTTAACCGGGCCTCGGAAACTACTTACGATTGCAGTCACGTACGGAATAGTTTACGGTTTGGTATTTCCCACAAACACTGAACGTCGAGGCGGGACCCTAGGGGCAATAGCCTGCAAGTCGCCGTGTTTTGGGCACTGCATAAGTATTAGGGATGTGCCTTGAATTTTATAAGCTTCGATCATTTACATTATTCGGTGTATAAAAAAAACTGAAAAGTCATTCATTACTCATCACATGTTATTTCGAAGTAACACATTTTAGTGACTTCATTACTTGGAATTTGAGCTAGTGAAATTTCACGCTTACGTAAAGTGATTGATATATTGCAACCTTAGCCAATTAAAAAGTGATTGATAATGATTATTGTTAAAAACTGCACAGATCAAGCACCTTACAGACTGGACTGCTTTCAATTGATTAATTATCTTGAGTGACAAATGACGAGATTTATCCGGTCAAATTAATTATATCTCTAATGTTTTATTAGAAAAATCAATCAGAAACACGGACTTTATACAACAATTTTAATTAATGTTTATAAATCTATCAAGTTGTTTAAACTACAGCTAGCCGCGATAAACCAAAAATAAATTCATTCCTAAGTAAAAAATCTCTTCGTATACTTTGATGCTTAATTTAATGTCTACGGCAAAAAAAATAGTAAAATAGACTCGGAGTCATGTACGAGGTCAATATAACGTATCAATTCGCGTTTCTAACGCCACTGGCATTATCGTTGTCCCTCACCTTGGCGGAGAGCAGGCGCGGTGAACGAACGGCCGCCGAACGCGGTCGCCGACCCCGCGCCCGCGCCCGCCCGCGGCAGCGCGCACACTGACTGCCTGATGAGCTTCCGACACTAACCAAAGCCTAAGGATATTCAAAAATAGAACACCTTATTTCCAAACTTCATCCCGTTGTACTTAATACGGGGTGGAGACTCATGGTAGGTGATCTAGTAGAGTGGGAAATGACTGATTTCTCGCCACAATTCCCATGGTCCTTAATGTTACAATGTATGTCTATATTTAGTTGCATATAACGTTTACAAATAAATATCTTCCCTCAATGACTCAGTGGGAACTTAATGATTCTGCAAGCGCCTAGACCCTTACTAGATATCCTCAAGAACCGAAATCGTGACCCAAAGTTTATGCGTTCAAATCATTACATCAATAAAATACATTAGCGTGAATAAACCGCGGGAACAATGAGGGTCGCTACTGTTAAATGTTATTTATTACTTGTACTGGAGCTGTTCGATGAAATCATTTTGAACATAACTACGGTGCCGCTTTTATTTTGATTTATGAACCATTAAAAGAAACTTATAATAACGATGACACATTTTTCAGTGCTTACTGAAATTAATATTTTTATATATACCGTGGTATGGACATGTTATGCGACGAAATGATGGGGACATAAACCAGAAAGTGTTAAGATTGAATGCGGATGGCTACAAGGGAAGAGGAAGACCGAAGAAAGTATGGATGGATTGTGTGAAAGAGGATATGCTTAAGAAAGGAGTGGATTCAGATATGACTGCTGATAGAGATGTATGGAAGAGCAGCACATACTGTGCCGACCCTCCATAAGGGATAAGGGCAAGTGGATGATGACTGAAATTATTATTTTAAAGTACTAATAATGTCTATCCTACTTCACATGCTTGTAGTAATTTAAAAAATAAGAAAAATATTTTAAGAATCGTTGTAAATTGATGTAGTTAACACCTATTCATTGACCGGTGACAGTCCATATTTGCCGCGGGTCCATTGCCTTCGTCTCCATGTGATAATAGCCTTAGCAAATATCCGTATGAACGCTAGCTACGCTTCGCGGAAATAGATATGTTAGAAAGAAGTTCATTAACACTCAACTGTACTCGGGATAGGATATTCATAACACGTAGATCAAATTGAATTAATTAAGATTAATACAGACTATATTTTAAAATATACCATCTATAAAATGGCTCTTTAATTGCATACTTTCTCCATTAAGCTGATTTTACTGGAAGACATAATAGTTAGGCAGTACAATAGAACAGTACTGTTATTAAGTATGCGTAAATGATAGCAGTACTGCACTGTCTTACTGCTCTATCTCGCTTCTCTTTCTTCATTATATATACGAAGATTATTAGGCCGACTACACACGCAAATAGTAGCAAATACAAATACACAGCAGCAATTTCTTCTAAATCACCTTGCCCGTGCATTAACATACTCAAGTGCGAATTCTCGCATACGATGGCTACGTGATTGAAATCACAGAAGCATCACTTGAATAATTTATCAATAAGGTTTTAAGCATAATATAACAAAATGTTGGATTTCTAAATCCACTTAAAGAACGCAATTTGAATGATGTAATTTCATGAAGGATTAATCAGATATTGCCCATGAGTGGGTAATGTCATAGAATGTCTTTCTTTTTTACATGTCTTACTCAATATGCAAAGGTAGAGAAAGACCGATGAAAGTATGGATGGATTGTGTGAAATAAGATATGCTTAAGAAGGGAGTGGATTCAGATATGACGGCTGATAGAAATGTATTGAAGAGCACCACATACTGTGCCGGTCTTCTCGACTCTCCGTAGGGAAAAGGGCAAGTTGATAATGACTCTGTATGCAATTAATTTATTATCCTAATGTTCAGTACGGTAGCGAATTCTGTTGCGAAATTTTATAGTTTTAGTCATTTATTTTACATACCTATTTGTAGTCCTTGTGATCGTATTTTCATAAGTCTTTATTTTCTTACAGGAGATGCAAGATGTGTTGGACGAGGATTCAGACATGAGCGACTGGCTGGTGGAACGCGAGTCGAAGTCAGGAGTAGTTCTACACGACAGACTGATGACAGACGCACTGGGCGCTGTGCCCATCAAGACAGAGCACTCCTACAGTTTACATTCAGATGGAGAGTCTGCCCCACCCTCGCCACACCACACTAAAGTCGATGGTAAGCTAGCGCTTTATACTCGTACTTAACATAACATGTGTAATTTTGTCTTCAAAAAATAATGACAGCGATGTCATTATTCAATTGTTTTTGATAGTGAAAACGCTTAGAAAGAATACATGTGAAAAGTCAAATTGCAGCGTGTAAATTGGTTCTGAGTATACTATTTTACAAAACTAGCATCGAACAACTTTTTCAACTTTAATATTTATTTAATTAGCATTCTATACTTTCTTACAGTTATAGGAAGGAAGTTTCTAGTCACGTCTCGCATTGTATACTAAATATGCACACGAAATCAATCAAATGTGATTTTTGGAAGTTCCGCTTACATTTGTTGTGAAAGCTTTCTCTATGAAATGTAAAATTAGTAACCGTGAGCTTCCACTACCGAAAATTTACGAAAACATAATTATAGATGTCTTTTAAAAAAACTAAGAAAAAAACATCCTTTTATGGATTACTCGATAATCGATATCCACGTCATTTCACACGTAAATTATTAAAATGTAGTTTACCTTTTCTATTAATACGATATTTTAATAAACATATTGACATTTTAAATTAGTTCCTTATGAAATAAACAGATTTTTTTAATACTCTATAAGGTATTTAACATTTTGCATAATGGCAAATAAAATTTACTGATTTACGAGTAATACACGAACGCACTTTTTACTTATGTAAGACGTTTTCGACGTTTATTTAATTGGTATTTATAAATTTCTCAAGGTAATATTAAAAAAAAATCAATAAACTCACTGAAATATGTAAGAAAAAACCTTAACTAAAATAACCTTGTTTTCTTTTCAAAAGTGCGTGTAATAGCAAATATTGAAAGAATTGTCGAACAAGATAAGTTGCGTACTTTAATCGTGTTTGTATGCAATATTTTTAAGTACGTGTGCTGCGTGAAACTATGTTAAATTCATATTATATTTTGCATTAAAAGCAATTATGATCACGTTATACGAATCTGCTTAATCTGTTACACGGATTATTTTTCCTCTTTAATTTATTTATTGTTTTTTACTTGTGGTATGTGCGACTTATGTATAAGTACAGTCTTTGGAATTATTAACGAGAAAACCATAATCATTTACAAGTAAAATATGTGTGATGCCGCAGGATATACTAGTTTATAGTCTAGATTTTTTGTATTTATCGAGCTTCAACTCATCATATCATATATCTACTTAACTATGTATGACTTTGGATTAAATTTGGCACAGATGTGAACATAGTCTGGAATAACATAACCAACTTACTATCTCTTTTTAATTCCAACCGATATCGATCAAGAAAAAGTAAATTTTACATAAAATGGAATACTTATTAATGACGTAAAAAGAAATTACAACAAACTTTTTGTTGCTGCATTAAAATTGTTTAACTACGTGTAATTCTAAAAAAAGGTATTCCATGGAGGTTCTATTTAAAGACCGTTGTCATTCTGGTCTCAATAAAAAATACTGGTGCAACTTGCCCAGCGGGTTCTCGAAAATGTGGACATGGACTGTTTGTGCGTGTTGATTAACATCAAATGATAATGTAAATATAGATGTTAAGATCTATGTTTTTTTATACAAAAGACATCAAAGTAAAACGTCAACCAAATATGAATGTCCATGTTTTGGTTAGTTTTCAAACGAGATTAATTTTAAAATGATCGTTACATTTTTTCTAATTTAAATGCAGAATTGAGAACCTTTGAAGTCTGTTGTAAATATATACTTATGTGTTAGTGAAACAAATCGGATATTTCCATTAGCGTCCATTTCGGCACTTTATCTGTGTTTTGTTGAAAAATCTTATTCGCTGTAGGCGTCCATAAACAAAATTATATCAAAACATTTAAATTACTTTGCAAAAAAACATGAAAGGTTATCCTAAATGTTTGATAGAGGCATTGAATTTATGTGCTTTTATCGAACTTTTTAGATTACATACATTTGTGTAAAAATAATATTAATTATATCATAAATTTCCGCTTTTTATTTCTTTTAGTATTCAAAGTTCATGTAAGAACTTGAACATCTTTCAACTATTTTCATACTAAAAATAACATAAACTAGTTTTCGTAGTTTTTTGTTTTGGACATGGTGATATGGTATTGCAATATCCAGGAAGTTAGATAGTTTATCTGTAATATGTATCTACGCACTCATCTGATTATATTCATGATAAGGCTTTTTTTAGCGTAGGTTAACACTACAGCACATGTTATAAATTGATATCTCCTTTTTTTAAACGAGTAAGAATGTCTTCATCAGTAAAAATCTGCGGTTAATCTGTATAGAAGTAAAAGATTTTACATGCTTTATCCAATTGTTTTTAATAACGTTTTTTATTAATATAATAGTCAACTTTTATATAAGAAAGATGATGTAGCTTCAAGAAATTTTTTTTCAGGTTATAAAGAATAGAAAAGTTTATTATCTATAGTTAAATTTAAAGAAATATAAAGAGGGTATAAATGGTAGAGATGTAAAAAGCGGATGGAGGTCGTACGGGAAATTACCTTGCCCTTATAACCAAGGCGCTTTTATCAAGTACCTTTTATAGTAAATCAAAGTCACTTGTAAACTCACCTTTATTTGTGTACAAACAAAAAACTTTTCTTGACACAAATTAGATCAAGTTAACTTAGGTCAGAGAACAATTGTAATACTTTTAGGGCTTGTTTGCAGTTCATGAATTAGTCACCTGTAGCTCGTATACGTTGAAATAAAGGTATATTTAGGGTAACTTAAGCTTTGTCTAGTCTAATAGTCTCATTTTTTATGGTAATTTTCTCCTTCATGTTCCTTAATTCCATTAAAAATAATTACTTCGCAGGTCTATAATCCAAGTAGTTAGTTTATGTTAACATAATTTTGTTGATAACTTCTATTTTATATTTACCGTTGCATCGTCGATGTTTAAATTAAACTCTGTCGAGAATTCGCGATCGGTTTTGGTGAAAGGAATTCTGGTGAGCCGATGTTGACTCATGTTAACATGTAAATGTCAGCCGTCCGTAAACTATCGACACAAAGTCACGAATACTCATATCGATTAGTATTACAAATAAACGAAAATATCTATCGATTAGTGTTAAAAGATTTTGATCATGTTGCAGTTGAATTGAAGATTTCGACAAATGAAAAATGTCTAGCCTTTTCTATTTAATTTAGACATAATTCCAATGGATTTTCTTTTGCATTTATGTTTCTTAATTAATCTCATTGCTCGTACAACTTTTTCCAATTATTCTAATCGCATATTATCTATATTAATATTACAAAGGATTTTTGTATGTATTCGATTCACGTAAAAACTACTGGGACAATTTCGAAAATTCTTTCACCTTTAGAAAGGTAATTTATCTGTGACTAACATAGGCTATATTTTTATTTTTTAATTTCTCACGGACAAACTCGCGAGCAACAGCTAGTTACTATAAATCTGGATAAAATGGAAGGGCAGCTGTTACATAGCAACTATATTGGGACAATATTTCACGACAACGGGAAAAAGGCGTGTGACGGCCATATTTGAATATTAATAGCTTATACTGATTTGTTCGTTTTACAAACGTAGTTATGCTAATCTCGATAACTATGGGACTCTACTTGCATATAAATGCAGATGTTTTCTATTGTATAATTCAAACACATTACTTGTACTAAAATAGTTTCTATTGATAACATTTATTACACGCTCTTAGAAGCTGTAATAATAGGAATGAATTCTTCGCGAGTTTTAATACTTTTTTTGCTTTACAAATGTAAATTATTTCACTTCGTCATGCTTATGGTTTTATTGCTTAGCCTTTTTTGTTTTATTTTTACGAGGCAAATTACTAAACTATTTTATTTAGCAAGGCGTTAATATTTCTAATGTTTTTTTAAACACATATTTGATGAAAATTAAATGTTTCGTGACTCCGAATTAATTAAATAAAAATGTAAAATAGTCTTAAATATACGCCTTTATAATATTCAATGTATAATTAGAAAGCTTATTGAATTGTTTCAGAAATACGCTTGGGACCAAAAAATACCTTATATGTGGCCCTTAATGTATTTGAGTCCAAATTTTCTTTTAATTTATTATTCCGTCCGCGTTTACTAACGGTAGCGCCCACAATTTAACTGTAACTTTTTAATTTAAGTTGCCATACATGATGATGTTTTAAAATATATGAAACTGCTTTTTAAAAGTACAATAATTACCACCCCCAAATGTCTAATTGGATATGTCAGTAGAGTTTTGGTAATCAATTAGCACGATTTATAGATTAATTACTTTAAAAAAATCGATTAAAACTATCTCAATATGTTCTCTAGCTTTAACCGTAAAAACCTATTGTTACTCTATATGCCTATCGTTATTTAAGTTGATCTAACATATGTAATTGTCCGCAATAAATGTTGTAGACTGATGGGAAGTTTATAACCATAATAAAACTATAATCTTCGGCGTAAAGTCCGCATTATTAACATAACGACAGCTATTTTAATGTTTTAATTATTCATGAATACGCGAACTATTTCGTTGTCAATCAACGATTAATCTATCTTGATTTTGCCGCCTTCTAAGGGCGATATTGAATTTAAAGAATATTTTAGCTATAAATTACTTTATATTTTACATATTAAGGTACTATTATTGTTATTATCTGTTCACAAAATTGGAAAGCAATTGACTCGCAAATTCATCTGAATTTTGGCTTCTTACACGCGTTTATCTATAATTGTTCCATCCGGGTTTTCTTAAGTCTGATGAAGTAGTTTGATAGTTGAAAAAGTACATAAAACTAACTGCTAACACTAAATAAAACGCTACGTCTATGTATGTATATGTAAGCAACGAAACGTCTACATTTATTTACTCTTCAATATAACAGTATCCTATACGTCTTAGCATACTACTTGATAATAATTATGAAGATTTACCGTTAAAATTTTATCTATATAATAATAGTTAAACTTTATAGCTAATGTTTTCTGCTAAACCAATATTCAAAGAGGATATATTATTTTACCTTATGGTTTCATGTCTTAAAATAATTTGACCATTAAAGCCAAGTACAGATTAAGTTTGCGTCATTGAATACTAAAACAGGAGTGTGCCCAATGCATTAGCCGAAGTTATTGTTAACGATTAAACTGTGCATGTACGCGGATATTACGAAACACTGGGACAAAACTTCGTATAGTTATTACTATAAAATTTGCCATATCTAGTCTCAAACATAACACTTTTTTAACTAATTTTGTATACTTGCTGTGTATCTTTTCAACGCACTCAGGGTTTACTTGTTTAATTGATCCTATCGTATTTCAGACATGGAAGACGAATGTTACCCTGCTATACCTGCGAGCGCGTGGCGCAGCCGGCGGCGCTCCAGCTCGCCGCTGGTGAAGGCTGAGCCTAAGTCAGAGCCAGACTCACCCGCCTCCTCCTGCCCACCCTCGCCCGCGCCCACGCCTACACCTACGTCTGCGTCCCTCACACACCTCGACTACGTCATTGACCACACGGTAACATCCCTACATTTAACTATTTATCTAAAAATGATCAGTTTTCAGAGACAAATCGGATCAAGAACAAAATTTTGTTTTTGTATGTAACTGTTTTTATGAGTTTCGACTTGATTCTTTTCATTAATGTAGCGAAGCTCGATCCAACCATACTTATTAAACCATAAACCATAGCATACTGAACCATATTTTAGCTTATCTTAGCTGCTAGATTAAAAGTAGGTACTGGATTGATTGATTTTAGAATTGACAGACGACTCTTTTTCTCTGTTTACCGAAATACCTGGATTACTATATTTGTTTACTAACGAAATCTTTATAACAAAGAAACCATTATTAGGTTTGGAATCGTGCCTTATATTCTCGGCAAATACCTATTACTAATTGTTCTCTTTGTAAAATAACTGTATCGAGGATAGAGATGCTTGTCTTGGCAGTCACGAACACGAATCCTATGTTTGCAATTCTACGTTTTTGAATTCAACAATAATGAACTGATTGTTTACAATTCTTATTATATTTACTGATATAAAATTCCTTATCTTATTATTTATCCTTTCTTTAACACTTTACACACTTACAGAAATACAAAATCTATTTTGCAACCTACTGCGACTAGTATTCTTTGATTATCATATTTTTCTATTTAAGTCAAGTTTATTGAGATTACGCAATCCATTCTACCTATCCGCTGATTTGCAAATTCTTCGAGAATTCTTTACAATCTCCTTGCATAAATATTTACGGTGCTTTGCATTTCTTCACCATACATTCCAGAAAGAGTATTCTAAGGATTTTTACTTAATAAAAAGATTCTAAATCTGATTTGTTAATTAAATGAGCCGAGTACTAACTGTAATGTTTCTTTCAATAATGTTTGATTTCCCCTTGTTGATCACATACCAATTTACCGGCAAGCTTGTTAACCATTCTATTAGAAAACTTTTTATCTACAAATCAATATATTGTGGCCTACAAATGTAATAAAGAATTTCTCATTACTTGCTCACCGTTACATTAATCATCCTTAGTACTTGTGAGAGTATTTCTAAAGGCACGCTTCCTATTGCCGCTGTACGCAATGACTGAACACAAAATAAAAGGTCATTCGAGTTCATATGTTCAACATGATAAATTTGTCTAAACATTTTTTTACGAATGAAAATATATTTTCCTTGAATGTGTTAATATTGGAAATAACATGTGTAAAGTGATAAAAAAATCCCCTTAAAGTTTTAAAGTAAATTTTCTTTGTAAGGATACACCCTTATATCATAAGAAAGTTTTTTACAATTCTGAAAAAATTATTGATATTTTATAAGAATATGGTTCTTTACCGAAAGTTAATAAATTACATATAACTCCAAAGATTATTGCGTCCTTAACAATTTATCTTCGATATACGATGTAATGATATGTACTTGCAGACGGGCACTATCCACATGCCACAGGCAGTCCTGCAGCAGGTGGGCGCGGC